TTTTTTTTATTATTCTTAATAATTGAATTAATAAAACTTCTTTATTTTCTTTAATTCCTAAGTCCTTATTTAAAAGTAAGAGCAAAACATGTCAAATCACTTATATTTTAAAAATCAAAGAAGCACCGTGCTTTTATGTACACAGATTTCTTTAAAAGGAAGATAAGGAGTTGTTAGTAATGTTAGAATACCTTTGTAGAGTTGATTTGCTCTAATTTGTAGATTAATGTCAATAAAAGCAGCTAAAAGATTTTAAATATCGTGATGTTAAAATAGAAAGATTATAACTGTAATGATGAATTTTGAGAGACAATATTTGGTGTCAACACTTAATTTGATTAATTAAAAATCTTTCCTACTTCCTTCTTCGCTTCCTTTGCACCTCTTCGTTTATTCTAAAAAAAAAATTACTATACACTTAATTTAATATATATTTTTAATATTAATTAATTAATTTATTAAAAATGTAATATTAATATAATTAATTTAATTAATTGTTGTCAAAACCAAACATATAATTTATAACTTTAGATTTTAAAATAAATTTTTAATTTTATAATTCAAATTATACTAAATTATAATATAAAAATTATTAAATAAAAATAACTTTAATTTTAAATTTATTTTTATTTAATAATTTAAATTATACAATATAAACCAACTATCACTTTCATTTCAAAAATTAATACTAAATTCTGCTAAAAGTATTTGCACATTTTAAGAAACTACTGTAGACCCTTGTTGTCATATCATAAGCCAAAAAAAAATTGACAGAGACCTTAAAGTTGAACCGACAATGATATTTGTTCACGCCGGCAGGTCAGGTCTTTTCGAGCTTTGGAACCACCTGCACCTGATCAGCTTTGTATCTTTCAAATTTCAGTAGATTTTAATGTCCCTAAATTATTGTGATTTACCTGACATGAGGGACCTTTGATACGATGCACAGCAAATAAATCTATATATATATATATATATACACACCCACACATATGCTGCTCCTATGTTGTTGTATTCATTATTCACAAAGGTAAACATAAAAGCTTTCATCACCCTAATGTCATGTCATCCGCCTTTTTCATCCCCTTCAATACGAGAAGGGGCACGTAGGACGGTGCGAAAAAGACATGGTCGGTTCTCGGCTGGTTGAACCGCTGCTTTGTCGATTAGAAATTTTCATCTACAGTGCTGCTATTACTTTTACTTTGTTAAAAATTGGTCCAGGTAAAAAATTAGTAAAACATAATAAAATTTTGTTATTTAAGTAGGTTTTGGTTTTTTTATAATATTTTATTCTAAAAAATTTATTAATATATTTATTAATGTCTATTAATTTAATTATTAAAATTTATATTTGAAAGTTCTCATATTGAGTTTAAGTTTGAAAATAATAATTTTTGAATAAATATATTATAAAATATATAAAATCAAAAAATATATTAATAGTTATTTTTTATTAAAATAATATAATTTTAAAATATTTTTTTATTTAAATTTCTATAAATTCAATAGATAAACACTAATCATGTAAAGAAATATGTATGTTAGTTGCTTGTTTTTAAAGAAAATTGATGACAAATTAAGCAATGATTTCGAAAAGGTCCATCTCTATAGGCCTCATCAACTAATTTATGATGTTACCACTCAACCAATGGTTTCTCGAAACCAAGTAGCTTTAGATACTGTTTATAAATGTTAATGACGATGATGATATGTTCTATAGTATTTTGATTAGGCAGAAAGTTCCTGACGTGTTTCTTGTTAATAATTAAGGTCTGTGACTATAGCACACCAAATACTAGGTTAATTAAATCTTTCAGTCTCCAATGTCATTGGTCCCTAGAGGAGAATTGCTGAAAAACCCACCTTTCTTAATTAAATTTTAAAAGATAAATAATATCGATTAAGTAATCCTACGATCAAGCTTTCGTGTACCAATTTTTTTTTTTTAAATTTAACTCATTAATTTAAAATAAGGTCTAATGCTTATTTCAAAGATGCCTTTCAAGTCACACACGCGTATGATATCCAGATATTTTTTCTATATTTTACATAAGGAAGTTAGTATTATTGGAAATAAAGCAATGATTAACAAGAAAAATGATTGATACACTATCCAGTTTAATATATTCATCAGTATTTATTAGTTCAGTCATTAAAATTTACAGTTTTAAGTTTTTGTATATTTAACATAAATTTAAAAATAATAATTTTTTAATAAATATATTATGAAATGTATTGAATCAAATAATATATATTAAAGTTCAATTAATAAATACTATAGCCAAAATTCCATTTTTTACATATATGCAAGGTTAGATCAAACGGTATCATGTTTGATATTATCTTAGCTTGGACGGTAAACTTTGATTATTAATTCATGTAAGAGTATTGAGAGGTAATATTCAATAAATGAAAATGATATAATTATAATATATGCTATATTATAAATTTATAATCATAACATATCATACCAACGAACTGCTGGTCCAAGTGGAAGGAAGTCGGTTCTTCGTAAACAAGATTTCAAATTCGAGTCTTATAAATGGAGAAACAAGCGTTGGAAGAGCTTTCTTATTAATGGGGTCGACGTAACTCGATTTCGGATTAATTGAGACCCAATGTAATTCTCAGATACTGGGAGGTTAATACAAAAAATATATATATATATATAATCATAACATATCATTATATGATTGATTCTTTTTATTTAGAAATACATTTGAAATATTCTATTTATTCACTTATTCAATGACACTTTATGATTTTTTTTTGTTAAATCTCCAATTTGGTCCTTGAACTATTGTACAAACCTCAATTTAGTCCCTACTGTTTATCAATTTACCCCAAGTTAGTCTTTCCATATAAAAAATAACTAATGTGTCTCGTTATTAACGTAATACGTGGTGGTTAAGTAACTGTTTTTCGCCGTTAAGTAATGGATACATTAGCTATTTTTTGTGTGGAATGATCAACTTGAGGTTAAATCAGTAAACAGTAGGGACTAAATCGAGGGTTCGTACAGTAGTTTAGGGACTAAATTAGGGATTTTTTTAGTTTAAGGATCAAATCGAAGAGCCATACAATAGTTCAAGGACTAAATTGGGGGTTCAACCTTTTTTTTAAGGCAATACTTTATGATTATAAACTTATAATTTTATATGATATTATAATTATAGTATTGTTACTCTATAAAAGTAAAAGTTTTGAACAGGGGCGGGATTTATAATAAGTATCCATCTTATAAATATAGATTTTAGTTTTAAATTTTGAAATTTAAGAAAGTGAAAATCAAGACATCTAACGTTTAAAATGTCAAGATATTCAATTCCAATCATATGATAGATAAGACTCAAGTGGGACCTACATTTTATATCACATATTATGTAGTTTTAATTAGACTTTTTAACATTTTAATACTAATACATTCTAATTTTTCACATCTTCTTTGGGACTAGAACTTAAAAGAAAATATAATTTTCTTAAATGTGTAGGATTAATGTGAGAGATACATCTTAAATGCATAATGGCTTCCTTTGTCCATGTTTCTTGCAGAATTTTTTCATAGATCACTTTATCTAAACAAGTAAATTTGTTATTCTTATTTAATTTTAATTAATTTTTTATACTTGTTTACTAATTTTAATTAATATTTTACATTTTTTGTTATGATAAAAGAAAAAAAAATCTATGGGTACAACACAACATAGCATTGTGAAACAAAATCTATGTTTTAAATACTTATTGCCAAATGTTTTGAACAACAACCAAATGGGTTGGAGTGCTCCTTATACCTTTATCAATAAATGCTCTTTGTTTGTTCACTAAAAAAATTATATGTAAGTTGAATCAAATGGAAAATAATCGGTACACTTTTTATTTTAACAAATATTTCGACATTTGTTTAGTTGAACCATAAAAATATAACATAAATATAACCAATTCAATTAGTTTTTAAATGTTATATGCATGATTACATCTTTAACGTTGTCTGATTTTAATTTTAGATTAAAAAATAATAATTTTTAAAAAAGTGTATTGTATAATTTCTTGAACTGAATAGTGTATCAATTAGTGTTTGAATCGAAAACATCTTAATTATATAAAAAGAAGTTGAGATCAATGGGTTGTTTATGGAGTGTGATTAGAATTCTACATCGACATCAAAGATAATTGTTATGGTTAATAAGAAAGGTTTAAACTTTCTCCATTAGGACTCTTTTGAGGACAAAATTATTAGATCTAGAGTCAAAATAAACAATATCTCATAATAACAAATATAGTTCAGAAATTCACAGTTGAAATGTTTTTTTTGGATTCCTTTATTAATTATTAGTATTTGAGTCATATATCATTTGATAAAGTTTAGTATGTATAGGGAGATTTGCACGTGTACATATATATATATATATATATATATATCTGAAGAAAAATGCTACATTTGAATTTATACCTTACCATTGGTAATATGAATGGGGTCATGTCCCTTAAGGATGGTTCGAATCTCTCTCTCTCTCTAAAATATATTTTAGCTACCTTGGACGAATCCAAAGTGGCAAATTATATTGATGACTTTGTTTCTTCCCTCGGGCAACAGAACCAAACATCCCCACTACTTCTTTCTCGAGTGGGTCACTTTCCTCCAAGAACATTACATCTGCATTAACTAAGGGACCAGCATTCTAACGTGGGTTTGTTTACCCTGTACTCTTAAAAAAATTTTAATTTTAATTAGTTTATTTTCTCTATATTGAAGTCTTCTTTTTAATTTTGGGTCTTTTAATAATTACACTATTCTTAAAAAGAAAGCATATCAACATCCCAACTTTTCATATTGATTAATAAAAAATATGTTTTTATAATTTTTTATTTAATAAGTAAAATAGAACGTAATTAATAGAGTATCTATCATATGCAGTTAAAATGATAGAGGGTATCTCTCAACTCTTGGGGAGTATTGTGAGTTCCTCCCTATCTCGTTCTCTGATCATTTCCCCTTCCTAACGTTCTCCTTGCAATCATTCTTTTTTCCCTTAGCTTTTCATTCTGCTGCCGCGACGCAAGTTTCACTTATGGTTGGATTTTGCTTATCTTACCTTAGTGTCGTATAGTCTTGCATTAGTGCAAGTAAATCCTTCTCAGATCTAGCAATCAAGAAAGTGAAGGTTAAGTGGTCCACTAGGGGTGTTTTTCGGTGTTCTTTTGGTGTATCCAATAAACAAATATTGGGGGATGAAAAAGATTTGGTATACTTTGCTCAACCCGAAGGATTAATTTTTCTTCGTAGGTTGTTACTTTCTACTTCATAGTGAATTGATTTAAAAAGTGATGATACAATTAATCTACCCCCTAAATTCATTTAACTTCATTTCCTAACCTTTAAATTACATTTTTTAAATACAAGGAAATTTGAGGATAGGAGATTTTACAAGACAAGGATTAGAGACCTGGTCATGACCAAGAATATTGGGTACACAACCATTGCAGCCAAGCAATAAGGGTAGAATTATATTGAAGAGGAGTTAGGCACATACTATACCCTTTCTCAAAAAATGTTTATAATTTTAAAGCTTTGTAACTATAGGTCATATCCATTAAAATAAAAATAATACACAATGCCTTCTAATTTTAGATTTTATTAGTTAAAAAACACAATAAGTTCTACGCAGTAAATGATCCTAGTATCACCCCTGCAGCCGTGTTTTTTAATTACTTAACGAGTAAAAGAGTTAAAAAAAGAAGAAGAAAAAGACAATATTTAATGTGGTAAGTATGGCATTTAACATCACCCAAAGAAGTGGGAGGTGGGAGCAAGCAAAAAGCAATTAAAATCTTTTTGGGTTTTGGAATTTGGAATGGCATTTAGAGGGCAGGGGCCCATGAAGAAAACGATCCTGTGGATTATTGAAAGCATAGCATTTCCGATACAAAAATTAATGGGGAGAGTGCCTGCCAATATGCATCGACTTATCAATTAAGATGCATATATGATCACCATATCTATATATGGTGGTCCTCAAGGGCTGGGGTCCAGGTGGCATCCCCGGCAAAGGGTGGCCGTGGCCACGTGGGAGAAGTGGTCCACACAGACATTGAGGTGTGCAATATGCAACACATGGCTAAAAAAAGGGAGTTGACAGGCTGTTAATTTCTCAAAGATGACAAGAGTTTTGGTAGAGAGTTGTGGGGGAAGTCAAGGCTAAAGGGCAGCGAGTAGACTACAAAAGCTCCATTGGATGCCTCCTATATGGGTTGTACTATTGTCCCTATATATATGTATAAAGCTTCAATTTAAGTGGCAAAATCATGACATATTTCTCTCTCTCTCTTTTTTAATGTTTGGTTTGAGGAAAGTAGAGGGGAGAAGTTACTTTTTTAACTAATTAACTTATGATGTTTATAGTAATATAATTTGATTGGTAAGAAAAACTTTATCTTTTTCTTTCTTTATACTTCTCTCAAACCAAACATACTATTTATATTATGAAAAAAGTATTGTCACCATACTACATAATATAAACAATTAGATGATAGAGATCTACAAAATGTAGTAGAATTCAATTCACACCCTTTGAGAAAATCAAAACATATTTTATTATTTAGACTATACTAAATTATAGAACATTAATTACTGAATTAAAAAAAACCCTTCGTCCAACTACTAGTATTTTATAGTTCTCTCTAGACTCTTGAGAAAATATATCAAGTTGTTTGTTTGATAAAATTCTTGATATAATCTCTTGATATTCTTTTTGTCGTCACTAGATCCTTGAAAAAATCTCAGATATCTCTCTCTTTTTTTTCTTTTTTCTTTTTTAGATTTTTTGGGTAAATTCAATTTAGTTGATCTTTTGTGATTGTGAAGTAAGACATACACCAAAACAAACTTTGGGTTTTTTGAGCAAGCCGGTTGGATGGGCAATGGTCTTTGAGTCCAGTTTATCAGGCCCAATTAAAACAGCCATCCAGTTATGATTGTGGGCCAAATCAAGCCTAAATGCCACAAAATTGCTCTTGCCTCCTTGGTCCATGAAAAATTCAGAGAGGAGGAAAGCCCAGTTTTTAACTCGCAGCCCGCCTCAATAATGTGCTACTGGGAACTGCTAAATTTGGTCCACTTCCATTTCTCTTTGAAAAAGAAATGTAGGAGTTGTTTGAATTGATTGTTTTGATAGAATTAATAGTTAATAATCAATGTTTAATAATTGATAATTATTATTATTATTTATAATTTAAAATATTTAAATCATTCGATTAGTACTAACAGCTGATAGTTGTTCTCTAATATCTAAAACAAACACTGTCATATTATTTTAAATATATTTTATTTCAAACAACAAAATAGCTTTAGCTGAATAGCATCACAAAAACGTGTTTAAACCATTATGTGTCAAAATAATTGTTACCGTATTTTTTATTTAGTATTTTTCCCAAATTAATTGTTATTATATATATATATTAAAGTAGTTAAATATTTCCTTTGTATTCTAAATTTATCGATGTTAATCTTTCTATCTTAAAATAATAATTATTTTTTAATTTTTTTTTTCAAATTAAGAATTTAAGAACAATTTATATATTTATCTATATTATTTTTAAAATAAATAAAAATAAAAATAAATTTGTTGTGATAAGATGATTAATTAAAAAAATAAATAATGATAAAATTAAAGTAGCAAAAAGTACTCTACCTATCTCAAAATAATTGTTGTTGTTTTTTTTTAATTTTGCGTTTATTACAAATTAACTGTTATTTTGTTATTTTTTAAAATAGATAAATATTTTATTCATATTTTAATTCTATCATTATTTATTTATTTTTTTAATAAATAATCCTATTATAAAAAGTCTTAAT